GAAAAAGTGATACCAAATGTTCTGGCATGGAGGGAATTAGTGACGACATTAGCTACAAAGGCATAGATTCGTTGTGAAAATACGCAATATGAGATGGGTGTGAACGATGTGAGAAAATAAGTTGAAGAATTTATTATCAATTGTGTGCCCGACGTTAGTATGACAAGCTATGGGAAAATTTCTGGTTGCACGTCGTCGTAAGTGAAAAACTAGTCTTGAGTTCACATACTACCTCATAATAATATTGCGATTTCACAGACGCTTCTGAATGGATGGCAAACAATTAATTTTTTTCAAGTGACACCCATTCGTGTAAAACACAATTTTTTAGTTTTGCGTTTCGATCGAACAACAGTATAATACTTCTATAATACAGTAATGTTCAAGGCACATTACAAATAAAAATTCTAGGGCCTTGTCTTTGAAAATCGCTGAACATGACGTTACAAGGAGAGATCAGTAAACAGAAACAGGTAAGGAGCATTTTCCAAGAAATACACTTTTGAAGTACGTCAAAGAGTACGTCAGCAGTTACATCTATCCCTCTTTCTCACCCCCATCGCCCTGCTACTTAAAACCCGTCCCCTCTCCCCGCCGCCATTGACCTCTCCGTCTGCTCCCTCCCTCGTCCTCAGCGCCGTCCTCACCGCTGCGGCTGCCGAAACCCGTCTCTTTCCTCCGCCTCCGCCCATCCACCGACGTCGTCGTCGTCACCGCCATTGACGCCTCCGGTTGCCCCACCCCCACCATTTTCTTCCTTCCCCCCCCCCCACATCTCCTCTGCCCCCCCCACCACCGCCTTCGCAGCGTGGCACCAATCGCATACACGACGACGACGCCCTCTGGCGAGCTCGTCTCTTATCTGCTCCCGTCGCCGCCGGCCGCCGCCCTTCGCCCAGCGCATCGCCGCCTTTGAGGCGGCAGCCTTCGCGATGAATCCGCGCCCGCAGAATAAACTTTGCGCCCAAGGACCGAGCTGTATTAGCGGGCGCTTGCCTTCGCGGAGAGGAAGGAGGAAGGGGGAGGGGGGGCTTTGAGGCGGTCGTTAGCGAAGCCGCCGAATAACTCGGGAGCTCGACCTACGGCACAAATAGCGACGAGGGAGGGCAGGGCACCGTTTCTGAGGAAGCGAAATCGACCATCACGAGTGCTCACAGTCGAATGATACAATAAACCCGAACTGTTGTAAGTACAGCCAACCCTTATTAAAGGACTTACTGACGTTGCATGCTAATGATGAGGAATTATGTTCAGGGGTCCTTCAGTATCGAATGTCATCTACTGGCGTCTGTGATAAATGATCTTAAGAGGATATCAACTGCAAAAATATTTCAAAAATAAGATGGGTAATCCATTAACTAAATTACTTAACCTGTATGATTATCTTCATTTTTCGCAAGAGAGAAGAGCCGATCTAGAAATTGTTTAATTCAATGCATTTACAGTAGAGGGTACAGGCCCACAGGCCGGAGGGTATGCTCTTATGATAAGTTGTTAGGAACATTAGCATAAATTATTCACCAAGAAATAGTATGAAATGTAAACCGAGAGCTGAGTAATGTTCCAATTGGTGCAAAAGTAATAGTCATTTCTGGCAGATGTTACCTCAGCAGGCTACGAAGAAATGCAAAGTTGAGGAATGTTGATATTCTGCATTAAAATAGTCAGATTCGTAATTTTTACAAATACGTAATTTTTCATTTCATGCACATATCCATTAAATGAACGAGTATTTTTGGGTGGCTATTTGAAATACTTCAATGGCTACTGCCAAAGGAAACTCTTGAATGTAATAATCCAGGTAAATTAAATTATTTACATTTCAAATAAGCATGCATGCTACTGATCTGGCACTTATTGCTATGTCGTTTTCTTTACAAGGCTATATTATGATTCTTTTAACTATTTTTCATTATATTTTTAACCAAAAATTTTAATATATTTATTGAAATGCTGCCAAATATTTGAGCAGTTTATGATGCAAAAGCCTACTAGAATATTAACATTTTCTTTTCACAAAATGCAACGCTACTTTAACACACATCTCAAGAATTACAGTTTTGTACGTACTCTAATGCCTTTCCGCAGTAGGAACAAGAACCCGGAGCGTGCCGCCTTTGTCCCCCCTCCTTTTCCCGATTCCCAGCCGCCTGGGAATGTTTCATTCATGGACTCCTCCCCGGCTTTTCATAAACACACAGGCGCCGCGTCGCGCCGAATGGCATTTGCTCGATTGCAATTTTATATCTTTTCCGAAGATCCCTTAGGTTGCCCTCCCTTCTCGCCAAAGATGTGCGGGGCGGTGCGCGAACTGTTTGCTGCTAAAATGCCAGAGACAAAGAACCTCGCGAGCAAATCTCGATTCATGCAAGCCAACAGCTCGATGACAGAAAATGTAGTCTAGTGTAATGTTTGTATAAAACCTACTTCGTAGCCCGGTTATGTCTGATTTTGACGCAGATTAAACATATTCTAATTGTACTACAAAGAGACAAGGCAGAGGTCCTGAAATCATATTAATGTTTTTTTCCACTGCAACAAAATGCTTTATGGTCTGCAACAACAAAAATGCTGAACAAAAACACACAAAATGATTTCAAAATAAAGCATTCACAAGAAATACACTAGTATGACACTGCAATAAGTTCAATATTTTAACGGTCTTCGCCGAATACTGCAAAAAAGTATAGTATTTACTACACTGTTCAACAGTTCTTAAGATACCAAGAATATCACAAAAATAGTATGCAACAGTAAATCGCAAACTTTTAATGGTAACTTCTTGTGGCCTAACTGTCGCATGTCGTCAACTGGGTCGTAAGTAATGCCGTAGGTACTGAGAAGGGGAATTCAATCGGTATGCGCAATATGAGAATAGACGAAATATCACAATTAATATTTACATTTCTAAGTCAAAATCAAAACAGTCTGTTTTTTATTATTGCCGAGCTGCTAGGTTTCTAACTAAACAGACACACGGCCGGGGTCAGCGTAGTTTTCTTTCAATTTCTTCGCTTGGAAGTCAGTGTGTGTGGTGCTCTCCAAATGCAAGATAACCGCAACCTCTCACCAGAAACAAAGTTACTACTGTCTACGTTAAAAGATGAAGTCGCCTTACACACGCCTTTACAGGTTCTATCACCCGTTCTATAATATTTTCGAAATAAATAAGATAAATGATCATGTGGATGGTTTCTACACAATTAAACCAATAATTGAGAGTTGAATGTAAAAAAATAAACAAATGCTGAAATGTGTAATCAACCGTTTCTAGTATTTTTATGAGAGACTTAAGTTAAGCAATTTATATATGTGTAAAGTAATTATTCTAGAAGATAAATTTGAAAAAAAAATACAAACCTCCCCCAATAACTAATTTATCAGCTTTTTGAACTTTGGGTGCACACATCCGGCAAAATTAATGTATTCTACGTTGATAAACGATTAAACATATTGAAAACATACTTTTATGTAAATAGAAAAAAGTAATACACGCTCAGTAAATCCATTATAGTATATTTAAACAAATTTAAAGGTGGTGGTAGTATTATTTTACTTAGGCTAGGGCTGACAAACACGAAGTATGTGCTCCGAGCGAGGTTGCGCTCACAAGGCAGCCGTGCCAGCATTGAGGACAGCCTTGACGCTTCAATTTTATAAGGTTGCACAGTAGTTAGTATAGGTGAAGACGAGCAACGATTTAGTAGCTTTCGGTCAAAGTTTCTTCAAGGAATTAAAAAAAAATAGTTTTTAGAAAATAAATTCTTAAAATACAGCTTTGGAATCAAAATATCAAAACATTTTTGGAGATATATTGCAAAAATACATAGCATAAATATGTAAAAAATGCTTTTTTGATTGGATAATGAAAACATTAATCAATTGTAAAAAAAATGATTGTAAGTCTTATTCAGACGTGTTAGATTATTGCGCCTTTCTACCATCTTATCCTGCCATAATCGTTTTGAAGGTCAACAGTGCTTAAATAACAAATGAAAATTTATTTTGTTTGAAACAACCTTAAGATTCAATCGTATTTACAAAACCATCTTTATTCTTAAATTGTATGTTTAGAAATCCCAAAGCATTTGCTGCGTCAATTCGCAGCTTTCTAGCCGAATTTGCAAAGCTCTGCTTTTGCAATCCGAGAAGTTATCGCCCTGTGGAGTACGCCATGTGCTCAGAACCAATCTTAAGTTCATTCATTTGACGACCCTGTCTTGAACTATTTAGCCCATTGACTGCAAAGTTGCGCCGAGGTATTTCGGAACCCGCTAGCGAATCCATGAAGAACATTATATCTATTTTTTGTTACTACTTATTAGAAGACCTTCACTACACTTAATAATGCATTTACGTTACCGCAAAATATGAATCTTAACCATTTGTCCCTTCGAAATTAACAATGTAAAATAGATTATATATATATATATATATATATATATATATATATATATATATCGTTTGTGGGCTGCAATAGTGACAACTCAAAATATTAGGTGTTGTGGCAAATGAACATTAAGTTATCTTGTATTGAAATGCAATATTCTTGCATTCACACTCCTTCCATTTGTTGGTGTGGTATACATGCTGCTCAAGGTAGACTAATTTGCAAGTTTGGAGAGTATTGACACAAAATTCGTATTTTTTTAGTAGTGCTACTTCTGCAGCACAGGAGCAGAATATCGCGTTAAAATTATTTTCGATGATTTAACACTAAAAAAATATGGAAGGTGAGAAGTGCTTTGTTGATATCGATTAGTTTGTTTACGCTGTCAAAAATATAAACTTCATACACAAGAATATATTTTATTTCTAGTATTTTCCTTCTGAAAGCAAAATCACATTACTATAAACGTTCATAAAAATCGAAAATTAACTTTCTAGCAATATTGTGGAAGAGATATTTTGGCCGATCATTGATAACATTAATTTCTCATTAAAACTAAATTTAAAAATGAGAAACTTAAATTTATATCTGTATATTAAGCTGAACTTACTTTTACCGTCGGAAGTTTCCATTTCCCGTTGGGTCCGCTGTATTTAAATTTATCCGCACTGTTTCAAATTCCACAACCGTTCTTCTTAGCTTCTCCCTGCGACGATTTACAGAATTACAATACCGCACAGATTTGCAGAGGTTGAAAGAATGTCTCATTAAATCATAAAAAAAGAGGTTCGCATAAATCTTAGAAGCACCATAAATAACCCACTTATATGAAGTTATGAATTATGTCGCATCTCGAGTCAATCACAACACAACGGAATCGCCCACTTCTTCTCGGAAAGAACGTTACCAACGTTACCCATTACCCTGCTACTTCGCTCGCACCGCTGGCTCGCTTGGCTTGCCCAACAAGAGAAACAAAACACTTTCGCGACAGAAGCGCCATCTCCCGTGTTTAAGCGCGCGATTATGGATCCATTCAAACGTTACGTTTCCCTTGGATGTTTATTCTGTTGGTTGAATTATGAAGATTTACTTTAATTCAGTATATTCACACAGAAATTCGATTGTTTAATATTTATTTTATAGGACTAGAAACAGAATTTAATACGCCCCAGTAGATGTGGTTTCGGCTTATATATAAACATACTGATAGTGAATTTATATTCTCGTCAATGTTGCAAACTATGGATTTGTTCTTTAAGATACTGCATGATATACTGCTCATTTCATGATTATTTATATACTCTTTTGTTAGGACCATCCCATACAGTAATCGTTACAATTGGCCACTTATAGAATTATGTCGTCAGCCTACATGGTCTTTAAGGTATTTTAACGTATAACTTCTGTCTGGTGTTCTAGTTTAACTAGGACAATTGTAGTTTTAGTGAGTTCTTAGCCTCTCTTAAAACAATACTATTTTGGAAATATGCGGATTTGAAAATTTAATTATTGTGATTTTTACATAGAGAAACTCATCTTTATTTTCTAAGTGTTTATGTTTTCTCTTTAATTTTCTTTTATTTGCATTGTGATAAGTGCCAAAAAGTGTCTACATACAATAACAAATGAACCTGTAAATGCAGTGAACTAGAACTAAATCTATTTAAATTATAATAACAAAATGACTAAATAATGTAAAAAGAGTAAGAAATTATTCAAGTTATTTTAAAGGATTTATGATTTAGAATATAGAGACCATGTGTAAGAAATTGTGATTACTTGCATTGTAGCTTCCCTCCCCTTATATTTTAAGCTTCGCAAGTCTGAGGAGAAATAAAAGAAAACAATAAATTATATAATTATTAACAAACATATAAAACTAACAAATAGGTTTACTTATAAAATATAAGGCAAATCATGAAGAGCTTGCTTCAGTTGCTGGCATCTGTTGGTGAACACCAGAACTTCGCAGGTGCCTGGGCGAGCGCAAGACACCAGCTGCAGCGCTGTCGGCGTCTTTTCGTCTCTGTCGGCTGCGACGTCAGGCAGCCGCTTCTGCTTGCTTCATGTTGGTTGGTAAAAACAAAACAACAACTTAGCATTCTCCGACCACTTACGCTGCATCGCTCCCCTGTCCTAACTCGCTTCACAATTGTTTTATGGTAGACACTATTTAGTTTCATTGTCACGCACGTTGTATTTGCTCAGACTGGTGAGGTCCTTCTCGAATATCATTATCAAAACTACATGTTTTGCAAAACCGATATCATAGATTAGTAGGAGGTGCACCATGGTATGTCCGCAACACCCAGATTTTTGGTGCAACTGATACGTTAACTGAACATATAATTTACCTAAGACCTAAATTTGTCTCGAACCATTATTCTTCACCTTCGACACCAATTGAATCGGTGCAAACAAAAAGGTTCGATGTCACATTTTTCCAATTTTGAAATAATGGTGAGAAACTGTTCTTAAAATATAAATTCAACTTTCTGCGCATAAATGTTAGTTAACCGTAAACTCTGTGACGTTTATAGAGTGTCCTTCAACTATTAATGTTTGTAAAAAATGATCAATGTCCAAACCTTTTGCTTGCTCTTCAAAATTTGAAGCTCTTGGACATCGACGTTTTTGTTATCTTCTATTCAATTTTTAGCTTAGGAGAAGACCTTCCTTTGCCTACGACTTCTTCCCCGGATCCCCTGGACGTGTAGTGCGACCAACGTTCACGACGTCACCTTCACGGTGAGAAACAACATAGAAGAAGCGAACAACCATCATTCATTTAATTTCATTTCTGTGCACTTAACATTTCATTTGTCATATCATCCCATCCATGAAGAACAGAAATCTAATATTAATAAATAGTATATGCAATGAAATTCACGTAATTTTGTCATCCTCCACTTCCTCCCTTAACCAACGCCATTCCTCCCCCCCCCTCGGGCACCTCACGGCAGGCCCGGTGGGGTGTACAATTTACTTCGTATAGAGAAGGGCCTTTCAGTCCGCTAATGCACCCCCTCCCGCGTTCTAGGTATTCGTCCCCCTTCACTGTACATCCCCATTTCCCATCTTCTTTTAAGAATATCATAACTTAACAAACTTCGTTCTAAACAATGAAAGTTTTTAATATCCAGAGGGAAATAGCACTCTTTCACACTCTTACGAGGTGATGTTAGTTGAACTCGTCAATTGTTAAACATAGCGAATGATGCCAGAATTCGGCCAACTTTTTATCACTTTTAGTCAATTTTATAATATCTCATTAACCCGTGTATGTGCTAAACCTAGCTTCCACTTGATATCTCAGCACCTTCCTCAATGTACTGAGTTCGTTACACCGTTCGTTACGTTGTATTCGTACGTAATAAATGTCATTACTTAAAAATATTTCTGTCACTTTAATTTCTGTATTAATCATTCTTCACTCGGTAATACACAATTTTTCAAATTTCTAAAACCCTGTTTTATTATATTGTCAGTATTTAACGTGCCAGTAAATTCGTGCAGATTACGTTTCATTCGAATCATTACCAGAAAATGTATTCCCAGTGGGTTATTATTTTTTTTCTGAAAAAGAGTTCAAGAACTCTTAAAACCTTCATTCTTATATCTGATGTTGAATATTCTCTGTAACACGAAAGATAATTGACTATTCTGTAAATTCCAAATTTATTGATCAACACTGAATTCACAAATGTCCAAATATTATCTGCACATGTTTGTTGCATGTTGTTATCTGCACATGTATTATCTGCATAGGTGCAACAATTGTTTAATAGTTATAAACAATTTTCAAATATCTGTTTAAGTGAATTTACGATTGCATTTCTCAGTGGCGACCTTCGGAGCTTCTATAAGCTTGGTAGTATTTAGTAACCCTGACTCCTGCCTTCTGTGCAGTTTCGCAATCGCAAGTAAACCTCGCACCAGGCGCTTCGTGAAATACCGCCTCGGAAGCAGTCTTGGGCAGTTCGTCGTCCGCTGTTCTGCGGTCGGCATCCCCCACCCACCATTGCCCCGCGCCTCTCCGCCACCCGTTTCCCCGGACGCCACGGTCCTCAACACCATCCGCCCTCCACCAATCCCGCTTCGCCCATCCCGCTCTTCTCCTTAGGGGCCTTCCACCTTTCTGTTCTGCAACCACACACGCCCCGCACAGCTCCTCCCGCCCCACCTCTCTCATCCCGCCCTTTCCCGCTCCTCCTCTTGCCTTTCCACCCTCCCTCTCACCCTCTCCCCGCCCCTCCCGTCCCCCCACCAGCTCCTCCCCCTCCCCCCAACCCGCTCGCCCCCCCTGCGCCGTCCAGGCAGGCTTACACCTCGGTTCTCGGCCGCGCGAACTTGCCTCATGCGTGCACGATCCATCACAACACAGTGCGGCGGGCGAGGGGCGGGGCTGGCGGGGAATGCAGGTGGTGGTGACGGGATGGGGCGCCCCGCCCTGCGCTGTACAATTTTTTGGCCCCTTTTTTTTTTTCCACCCTTACCCGCCCCTCCTCGCCGCCCGCCCTCTGCCCTCGGCCGGGCGTGTACATCGTCCCTACAACGCGAATCCATTCGCTTCAAGGGCGCCGGGATCAGGCTTCCAGCTCAGGTGGACGCAAATTTCAACACCTCATAGCACAGAGTTTCGTTTTTTCTGAAATAAGACATGTTTAGTAAGATTTACGATCTGTTGTCGGAAATTGTGAATCGGTTGAGTGAGAATAAGGCTGGATTAATAAGTTATGGGACCCTAAGTATGATCCAACTATAGGTCCTCCTAATTTATGTTCAATATTTGAATATCGTTATCGAAAATAAAGATAAATAGGATTATTACGTTTAATTTACAAATAATGTATGTGAAAAAAGTACTGTTTAGAATCTTGTAAGGAAAATGCTGAATTAGGCTATACTTTTTTTAGTGGGGGCCTTGAGCTCATCCTTAGTCAGGTTATGAAGAAACCCATCAGTAGATGAGAAATTTAACCAAATTCACACTAATTTATTTATTCTTGAGCTACTGGTTGTCAATTATTCTTCATTTACAGTTACTGAAATAATAAATAAACAAAACTAAGACTCAAATTTTGTTCTCACTCTTATATTTTATCAGAAATTATAATTCTCTTACAAACTTTACAGTACTTAAAGTCAAATAGACAACATTTTATCAAATTTAACCAGTTTTCTCATAACTGTTGTTTGTATTTTTTAAAACTAAATAAATTATTTCATAAATAAGTAAATAAATGTATGACATTTGAAGAACCATATTCTGAATTTTGTTAGCCTTACTTTGATTTACTGAGAGAAGGTGTTTTCAGGTTTGTCTGTCACTAATAAACAATAACTAATATTTTTGAGATGTTTTGTGGTATGAGAAAATGTGGAATTATTGTCCATATGGGACACGGATGCAAAACAAGGGCTGTTTCAGCATATGTTTTGCGGATCAAGGGAAAATGAAAAACTATTAAAATGAGAGTCATTTACCCTAAATCATGATAATTGCAATGAAAATAGTTTAAAACATCATATTAAGGAAATGATATTAAAAGGTGTACGAGCACTATTAGCACTTTCTTAGAATCCATCAGCGTCAAAAGTTAGGTTATACAACAAGTCACTTTCTGGGTAGATGTCATATTGGAGCAATATTATCTTTAGAGAAAAAATACTTCATATTTCTAAATTCATTTCATCTCATTTACATTGAACTTCTTTTCAAAATGAAGAACCAAAATTACGTGAAGCTTCACATGCATGTAATGTTGATTGTCCATATCAAGTACAAGAATTACCGCCCTAAAATTATTAACCTTTTTGGTAAGTAATGAAATATACTTTTAAAATGACTTTAAAAAATTAAATGTTTATAATATTTGGTTGTTATACTAATAATTGTATGGTTTTATGCCCTTCTGATGGTATATTCGTGTTAACATAGTTTATTTTCTTCATCTTCTTCGTGATATATTTTTGCAATATTTATTAACTTTCATATATGATGCTGGAAAGACATGTGTACCAAACCGAAAAAAATTTCTTATAGTAACACTCCTAGCATGGGTTATTCCTAAAAATGTAATTTTCATCTCTCCTGATAGAATTAATCTTTGGTGCTATGGCAATATATTATCAGGGTTTCAGGCAAACTTATCGACCATTGAGTAATACATCCCATTTACGATTTAACTTAGGAGGAAATTAACTATTGCAGGTTCACAACCATGAAATGGAAATGGCAAATGAAGATCACGGGATTTGGTCGAAATGAATTAAGTCATTAAAATATAGTGCGCTGTCGTTTCGGAATATTTTTATTCCATTCTTACGGCTGGTGGCAAAACATCAAAATATTTCGAAACATCGGCAAACCATGTTTTAATATTTTAATTCCCTCCCGCCAAATCCTTTGATCTCTATATCCCATTATGGGAAATCTTCGGCTTTACTTCCCTTCTATTTTCAATTTGTTCAACGTCTCGTAGCGGAAAGGATGCAGCAATGCGCTCTGTGAGCGGTAGTTCAAACTACGGATGCAGTGTTGGGCCATCTGCTAGCGCTCACAGCGGCAAAATATCCAATACGTCGGGCTGCAAACCTAAGCAATTCACGAAAGAACGCGTTTCATACATCATGTTCACAAGCGAATTTCTGTAAATGCATGAAACGGGATGTGTAATTTTAAGGAATTGTTCCGTTTAATATTTCTCCCTTATGAGTTAAGCGCAGATAAAAATCGTGTTATGCTAGGTCTGAAAGAGGAATAGGGAAACGCAAAAATGAATAGATAAGTCGAATTCAGAATATAAGTTGATCAGCGGATATCAGTAATCAGTATTCGAGTAAAAACTCTTGAGTGTGAAGACGTGCGGGTGTGCGGATGTGTGCGATTCCGGTATTGGCGGCTAGACCTCTTCCCGTGCACCAATTGAAATATCAGAGGTGTCATTCAACGCGTCTCGGTCACCCGATGGGGGACTGATAATTGTTTTTGGAACCGGCCTGAAGATTGAAATAAATTTTCAAAAACGTGTTTTTTCATGTTTTGCGCTGCGATCGTAATAATATCAGGAATTCAACCAACGTCTCCTAAATCGACTTGTGTAGGTGGCATTGATTAAACACCCTAGCCAAAGAAATTTTTAGCAAAATACGCCATAATTTTCTCTTACGTTAGGAACAATGATGTTGACACCTTTAAGTGAACAATTGAATTACCAAGTAAATCACGCTGCGGATTAATTTCAATTTAGATTCGAATTCACGTATTTTAAAACATTAATTTGCGAAAACCTGCGAACAGTATTGCAGGAACCTAGAAAAGATTTTGTAAAATCACTATTAAAATCTTGATCGTAAATTAGAATATTATTATTATTATTATTATTATTATTATTATTATTATTATTATTATTATTATTATTATTATTATTATTAATAATAATAATAATAATAATAATAATAATAATAATAATAATAATAATAATAATAATAATATAAATATAGCTATACAAGAATTAAGTGAAATTGGAATATTACAAATGAATTCAAAAACCTAAATTAAGGATGTTCAAATAATATTTTATTGCTAACATTAAATACATTTTTGACCTTTCTGTACAAATATTCATTTCTCTGGTGCAACAAATAGCAACATACAAGTATAACCATATCTCTCTAAGGGGTTAAATTCCGGTTCAACCAGAGAACATGACTAGCAGATTAGGAATGTTTTCATGATTAAATGTCTTTATATTAAAACGTATTATTGACTATTACGCTCATGAAAACTCAAATACCATCTTGCAATAACACTTGAAACGTCTAACGATCCAAACATACACAGCTGAAAGCATTTAATAGAAAAAACAGTGGATAAAATAGTCACTGAGAATGATTAGCTATGGTGACTAGCGTGGAATGTTTATAAGAAAAGGGAAGTTTTAGAATAATTAAATGAGTGACATAAATTTTGATATAAGTAAAATAGATTTCTTAAAAATATTTTTAATATTTTATCTGAAAAAATATTATGAATTTTATAATAATTATTACGGTGATTCACGAATAAAGAATATAAATGTTATGCGTATATTTTTCGTAAAATGATCACACATACGTGGATATGAAAAAGTAGCTACAATGTTCTTAACAGGAAATATTCTACTTTCCCTCTTTTCTTGTAATTTACACTTAACAGACCCATGATTTTTATAGCTTTTTGTCTATTGCTAATAAAACTGGCTTTGTAGAGATCAAATCAGGACTGGGCACAGCAGTACCGTCACCGAAAAATACTTCTTTACAATATACCTATTTATTTTACGAAGACTGATGGACATAAACGTGTGATAGAAATTCAATGTTATAATAACATTTCAAGAAAATAAAATAAATTGTGTTCATGAATGAGGCATATTCTTGCAATTTCGAACGCAAGAAAAGTGATATCCAGAAAAAAATTATAAGTTAAATTGTCCTTGAGGGAGTGTGGATAATCATTTACTTCGATGTGGGCTTATGAGTGCACTTCGCGAACATTGAGATAAAGGAAAACCAAATTTAGATTCTTTGAAACAACATGCTTGACTTTGCCTAGTACTATTTTCTGTACGTAAAAGAAAACATTAAACATTACGTAAACTTTGGCACATATTTTACAACGGCGGGTAACTCTTTACAATATAGTAACTAGATTCTCTAATTTTACCTTTACTAACGTTCCATACAGTATGATAACACAAAACTTCAACACAAGTCAATCCTAATAAGAGCTCATAAAATATTGTCATTTTATTCATTGTAACAATGTCTTGTAATTCGAACTTAAAGTAACAAAATATACAAACCGAGTTAAAACTAACTCATAAAACAAAATATAAAAATAGTTCTGTACATTTCTTCATATTTACACTCATTGTTTCCGATGCGGGATATCAAGTAAAACTTTTCTTACTCGCAGGGTAACAAAGGACTACTATGAGCAAATAGTTTACGGTTGAGTGGCTGAGTTGCTTTGTCTGTTCACATCGCTCGCCGTTCTGGCGAAGTCGGAGTCGGCAGCTGGTCCATAGAGAACTGATCCCCGCCCTTGGAGTCCGGGGACTGGGGCTCCAGTGCCGGTGTGCTGCAACGACCCTCTCTCAGCGACTGCCTCGACCTCCCTGCAAAGGAGGGACAATGGTCAAAATCCTACACTTAATCGTCGGTAACATGCGTGTCTCTGTCTCCTCTATCCGTCCGTCTTCCTCTCTGACCGCTCATCTCCGTCTCTGTCTGTACATTCGTCTCCGTCTCCGTTTCCGTCTCTGACCGTCCGTCCCTCCGTCCGTCCGTCCCTCCGTCCGTCCGTCCGTCCGTCCGTCCCTCCGTCCGTCCGTCCCTCCGTCCGTCCGTCCCTCCCTCCGTCCGTCCCTCCGTCCGTCCCTCCGTCCGTCCCTCCGTCCGTCCCTCCGTCCGTCCGTCAGTCCGTTCATCCGTCCGTCTGTCCCTCCGTCTGTTCGTCCGTCCCTCCGTCCGTCCTTCACTCGCGGTTCGATTTCTTCCGGTCCACTATTCAGAGCAAATGATGTGTCATTTGTTGTGAGTCGGTCTTCTGGTGGGGATCTTACTCTTTTTCGGTTCCTTCGAGAAGTAGGAGGAGAAGTAGAGTAGTAAAAGAATGTTAGTGAATTAACGAAAAAAACATTTTTCTAGGTGTTAGCAACCAAAATGCGTATTGGGCAGTTTTAAGGCACATTTTAGAAGAGATAATGGGCTCAGACAATTGCTTTCGAGAAGACAATCGATTGGAACTATTTTTAGTCACATATTTCTGGAATATTCTGGAAGAACTCCACAAAAAATATTTTTTTAACGGGTTTCAAGTTAGTGATTTCAAGTTGCTTAACCTGCAGTGATTAAACTTTGTCTGTGTTCCTGCATCTAATATTTTGTGTTCCTGCATGACGTGAGTCCTCAGGCAGTGATTCATAAGATTAACGACAGGCTAACCTAATGAAATATACATCTTAAAAAAGGTTTTTCTATCGATATTTTTCCCTTTCACTCTTAGTGCTTAAGGACAGACTAGCGACAAAATTGTAATTTGACTAACATTTCCTTTTGAACGTCTTTAGCTCAAATGCACATTTTGAACAAGAAAGAGCCCACAGGAGTTGCCCGGATAAGTTAATTAATCAACGTATCACTTTTTCACATAAGACGATCACAGATTAAAACTCTCCTCCAGTAAGTCATCTTCCAGGCGTATCCCTATTCTTAATTAACGTTCACTATTTACTCGCACATAAATATTTGAAAATATATTATCTAAAATGAAAAAGAGGACTAAATAGTTATCAAAACTCAAAATGCCGCAGACAAAACGAAACTCGAATAATAAATTAATGTTAAAGATATTTGACAATTCTTGCAAATTAAATAGACAAGTGTTAGTATTGCTACTGAAATTGCTGTTGAATATAATCGCTGCTTAACTACGATGATAAAGCTCATGGAATGTTTTCACATCGGCGCGCCAAATGCGAGTAATTTCTAATTAAAATTTATTGGCTTACAGGCAAGAGTAAATGTAAACAAAAAACGAATTTCAGCCTTAGTGGACACATGCAAATGCGTACTTGCACGTTTACTCACATAAGCTTGGAGAAGGACTGCCTCTGGAATTACTCAACTCGATGCTCGGACTGTCCTTTACACTTGTCTTTGGCACTTCTGTGTTTGGAAGGTACTGCATACTGCCTCCTAAAGTAAACATTAAATAACCCATGAAATTATTTCGGAAATATACAGAATGAAGCAGTTGAATCAGTTGAGAAACAAACAAATAAAAATTCCGCCCAGTTCAACAAAAACGGAAAATGGATAATCAAGAATAAACTGAAATAAATAATTGAAATGAAATTGAGCAAAAACACCGAAGGCAGATGCACCCATAAAACCTATTTTATCTCAAGATGAAAAAATTTGTTATAGATTCTATGAAATGGAACAGTAAAACATAATTACAACCTTTTTATTAATGAATGTAACTACAAAGTGCGAATACTTTCTTCTGTAATGTAAATAATGGGTGTAATGTAAATACATAGTTATATTTTCTTGAGTTTTCTAAGCATCCTAACGATAAATTACAAATATGCTTCTCTTCTTTTGTATTAATTATTAAATGTTGTGAAGCTTTTATAAGAAATAAATTAATTATCAACTATTTAAATACTTTTGTAATCAACTGAATATTAATCTTGATTATACAGACAAACACGAGATTATATTCGTTTAATGTAACTTAATTTGGTAAATTAAAATTGCATGAACACCTTTTCATTCAACCTTTGGATGAGTCACACGAGTCCATCCACAGAATCCTACGATTCACATCAGTCAAACGTACCATTTAGAACCACGACGGGTGTAAGATTTGTGGGAGTTGCTGCCAGTGAGGAACTTCTATGTTGGGACATGACTACTTCTTTCGTATTTTTCTCTGGTTTGAATAAAACGATGTACATTTTAGGAAAGAACAGGCAACCGAGCTGTACAAGTCCACTATAAACACAAAGCCATTAATTAGACAAATATTCATATTACACCCAATATCTTAAATTATGAAACTCATGTATTTTGCTTAGGGTAACAGTACCTGAGAGACAATGAAATTGCAAGAGTAACAATCCGAATTGAATGGCTGGTGGAGGCAATGTACAGGGGTACGAAAGCAAGCCAAATAATGATTGCTGTGTAATTTGTGAAGCCGATGTGCTTCGTTTCGTTGAAACCACCTGGGCATTTTCTTGTTTTAATTGCATACGCAGTGCAGAAACCTGTCAAAAGATTCCATTTATAATTAAAAGTAAAACTGGTATAAAAAACATGTTATTCTACATTTACTTGGACATGACGATGTTTGAAACTTTACTAAAATGAAAGCCAGATTAAATTATATTTCTCTTATCTACCGAAGAATTGATCAATACTCACCGATAAGGACAAATGGATACAAGAGGCTAACCATGTACGAGTGGTCGTTTAGGCCCTCACATATCAAAAACCTCTCTTCTCGCGTTGGGAATACGTGAGTCACTTGAGGGGGTACGTACAGCAGCCACGACAGGTTTATCACGACTTCAACCGACGTCAGCCCTGCCGTTATGAGCAGCTGCGATTTCGGGCTCGTGTATCTAAAACATATTACATTTGTTATTCGCTCAACAGAGGTTGTTCTTGTCAATTTAGTTGTCAATTTTCTAGAAACAAGAATTGTTACTACAATAATAATTGTTACTACAATATAAAAAAAACGATACCTTAGATTCAATGTACCCAATGTTATTGGAACTAAAATATCGCTATTCGCCTCGAGCAATGTAGCAAGCAGATGAAAACCAAAGAACTTTAGCATGGTTAATTAAATATACATCACAAGAAAGATACGGAAGTGTTTGTGAAGACAACTGGGAGCAGATAAAAAATGAAATAATTAAGGATTATTTTCGATAAACAACGTAAACGTAACGTAAACGCAAAACTTTGTGCCGCGCTATTGAATGCCACCATTCAGAATGGCGAGCGTTAACACAAACGTTAACATGAAAGTAGGTCATAACGTTCTGAGATAGTTTGCAAGCCTTTATATGACTAGAGAAAAACAGTGTATCGCAGCAAAATCCAATTAACTTCTAACGTTTGAAACGAATGCGATTTGCATGAGCATATAATTTGTCATTCGTCGTCTTTATTATCATCTTCATAATTTGACGGAATTATTCATCGTGCCCTTGGTTATGAAATAATTATTATTCCAGTATTATTGCGTTCATTTTACTGAATTTCGTTCGATTGTATATAGAATTTATATCCTGAGTATTTATTGTATCGATATGGATGGTTGGCCAAGTTGATGGTTCCTTTCGCGGCATTTGGAAAAGGAACCTCCTAGTTTCTCTTAAAATAACAAATTTTACTTTTTTAGTTGTCGTAAAAAACAGAAAATTTGTCTTACACAGTGCATATCCTCATGGCAACGTTAATGCTTTTTTTGTGACTGGCACTTTTGGCAGAGAGAGGGAGAGATTGACGGACAGAGAGAGGAGAGAGTGGGGAGAGAGAGGGGAGAGAGAGGAGAGAGGAGAGAGAGGAGAAGAGAGGGGAGAGAGAGGGAGAGAGAGGGGAGAGAGAGAGAGGAGAGAGAGGGAAGAGAGGGAAGGGGAGAGAGGGGAGCAGAGAGGGGGAGAGAGGAGGAGGGGAGAGATGGGAGGGAGAGAGAGGGAGAGGGGAAGAGAGGGGAGAGAGAGGGAGAGAGAGGGGAGAGAGAGGGGAGAGAGAGGGGAGAGAGAAAGGGAGAGAGAGGGGAGAGAGGGGAGAGAGGGGAGAGTGGGGGAGAGCTATAGCATGAGATGAAACAATTTAGCAGGTCGGGATCGTGTATCTAAAATCACGAGTGAGAATGGAAAGATTGCGCGTGTCCCATTTGTTTAGCTACAGCACCGGCATTCGCCTGGCATGGATCGGAGGAACAACGCAAAACTCCCGCCGGGCCGCTAGAGACTCACTTGGTCTTGTGCGGCGAGCAGCCCTTGTTGTTGAAGATGCGCGCGATGCGGTTGGTCTTGGTGACGAGCGCGGCGTAGCACAGCGTGTAGCAGAAGCCCAGGAAGAAACGCGACAGGCCGCACGTGGCCGGCGAGGGCCGCGCCACCACCACGAACGTCACGCAGAAGGAGAGCAGCGTGCCCAGCAGCAGCAGCAGGCTCAGCTCGCGCCCCGACGCCTTGATCACCGGCGTCTCGCTGTACGTCCAAAAGATGAGCGCCACGATCACCGTCACCAAGATGCCTGCGCAGCCCACAACGCGCTTCAGCGCTCATGTATATACATTTATCTGTAGAGAGGCGGAGGTGAGCTCATGGCTCATCTGGTGAGAGGCGGAGATGAGCGTAGAGATAAACATGTCTCAGAATCAACGGATTCAGCATGAAAATGCGGATCCTCCAATAAAAGTAACGTGCACCTACCCTCGATAAATATAACTGAATCTTGTTGGGTTGCACGTTTGCGTGAACCCGAGATGGCCAATTCGCGTCCCAAAAAATATATAAAATAAAAAAATAAATGAATATTTAAAAAAATAATAAAATGGAACAATTGATTTTCAATTATCATAAAGTGATGTCAGTGATTTAAAGTGATGAATGATAAAGTGTAATGCTGAATTTGATTATTCATTTTCCTAAAATATAATGTTCTTGGATGACTCCTACTACAATTTTAACGGCCTAATCAACCTCATATTGAAATAGTGACATTACATAGTGAACATTCATATTTCGTCATATTACACAACTTTCCAGGCTTTCGCATTCACGCCGACATGATTTGCATTATTGCATTCTGCATGACCTATTATCATGAAACGTGCAAGTAAACCACGAAAGCCAAGCGTTTTTGGTTTCCATTGAGAAACAGCTTGAGGCATGGGGTGTGGGTGGCTCACCGATGCTGGCGACGGCCATGGCGGCGATGGCCCAGGGGTCGGCGTAGTCGATGAACTGCTCGGGAATGGGCTCGCAGCGAGGGGGCAGCAGCGCCGAGGCGGGGGCAGCGCGCTCGCCCCTGGAGCACGCCGCGCAGTGGAACTCGTCTGTGCGCACTTCGAACGGCCCGCAAGTCTTGCAGCGCCAGCAGCACGCCTCGTCCTTCTGCACACGAGCGCAGGCAAAACGCTTAACAAAGAGCTTAACAAAATGCTTGACGAAGTGCTTAAAAAAAGTGTCAAGTAAAAATATCAAAAATCATTAGTTCAAATCAAAATTTTTAGGTAAATTTTAGGTAAAATTTAGGTAAATTTCTAGGTAAATTTTTTTAATCCTTATTTTTATAAAAATGTTGACTACTTTGGGCTGATGCTGGACTACTTTTTTTTGTTAGAAAAACCCTAGTTATTATTGACGACCAAACAAAACGAATATTTCATTCGAAAATCCTTTGCCATTTTCAATGATCTAAGTATAAAAATATTAGTTAGAAAATCCTTAATTCAAGTTCAAGTTCTGAATAAAAAATACTTCGTTCTGAAATTCATAGTTGCTTCCAAAAAACTACGTAAAAATTGTGCGAACGTTATTACATGTAAAAACCTAAAACATTATTTGGTTCCAACATTAATAAGTCTTATCCAAAACAAATATCATTTAGAATTCAAATACCAATCCTGCAAATACCATAAATGAATTAAGTTAAAGAAGTTATTTTCAAAACACCAAGGATTTATTTTTCAACATTAATTTTCAATAAAAAATATCTGGTCTCTTAATTCCTAATTCATAAATTTGTCACACTGTGGTTAATTTAATAAATTATTTATATAAAAAATATTTTTTAATAAAAAGTGTATTTAAATAAAATTCATTCTTAATTTTACTATTTTTTTTTTTTTTAAAAAATGATTTCCCACACCCTAATTAACACTAATGTGAAAGTTGTTTTCATTTTAAAGTAATTTTTCTGGCATTTCTGGTGATTTTCGCTGGAAAAGTTGCCGTATTTTCTAGGATCAAATGCTGTTATTCAAAAGTATAAACATTGACTTAAGTGGTTATGTTTCCACTGACTTTTAATAGAGTTGGAGACATACGATCGTTTTGAAGCATGATTGTATAATATTAGTTGGCAATGTATTAATTTTTACAAAATGCAGGATACTGCCCTGGTTGTCGGTATTTACCTCTACTGTAGCCACGCCAAATTTTGAAAGGTCAGTAGTCACGGCCGACTGTGAGTTCCTACGTAAACAAATTTATATATGTGCGTAAAGATAAAGTAGACAAGAAAAATAAGTCTAAAAATAGAGGCGACCTACTAAGAAAAGGTTTTAGAATATTAAATATATTTTAATGGAAAATTGATAACAGAGGAAGACCCATATTTTCACTTTTAAGTCTAGAGAAGTGTTTCAAAGAGTGCATAACATTTTCTTGAATTTTTTAATAAATTGAACGAGATTCAAAAATAAACAAAACGGAATTACACATTTCAGTTAACATGTTTCGCATTTTTCTTGATTCGCATTTTTCGTTCTTTCCTTTTTATACACCTTCTGTGCACATGTAACGTCAGTCACTCTGGACTGAGAGTACGCAATTGCTGACAACTGCACTGATCATACTGAAATTGAACATGCTGAATATGAACATACTGTGATTCTTAAGGTCCAAAAATTAAAAGTAGAAAGAAAAACAATTTCCCACGAGACCACTGCTGGGTGAAATTGGAATTTAGAACCACAGGCGCGATTGACTGATTAGTGATTTCGGGCGCGACATTGGCTAAGGTCATAATTCTGTAAATGTAGTGCATGCTTTTACGCCGGGAGGACGGCAAGATCAGGCGTCGACCTACGTCGGCTTTAGGCCTTTTTCCCACCCAGGCATCTCCCACAAGCGTGGTACCATCCCAGACGGGGCACAATCTAAGGCCCTGACTGCTCTCTCAACATACGTGGCAGTGTGGTGCACACGAGTGGATGAAAATAAAGGAGGGGGAAAGGACAAGGAAGAGGAAGGAAATATCACGCGTGGTCCGCAGCCGTTTCGTTAGGGTTCTTCTCCGTCATTTGCCTGGTGTTAATAGGAGAAACCACGAAAACTTCCCAATCAGAGCAGCTGGCCGCTAGAATTTTCCTACAAACAGCGACTGAACTCAACCTAGCTATAAAGCTAGTGTCGAAACTTGGTACTGTCAGGATTCGAACCCCAGGACTTCCCAGTCAGAGGCGCTGCAATGGCATGAGTTGATGCCCTGCGCCACCTTTGCCGGCAGGAGAGTCGGTGTACACGTAAGCTAAGGAGAGTCGGTGTGTGCGTACTCACCTCGCGCACTTTGATCTGGTGCGGCGCGCAGGGCTCGGAGCAGGTCGACTTGGGGAAGTCGTGCGAGCCGTTGAAGTACCTGATGGCGCTGCGGTCGATGTGGAGGTCCGGCTTTCCATCCTCCCCCACTGCGAACACCAGAGGACACATTCATGAGGCGGAGTCATCGCCATTGCCATCGCCATCGAGCTCAACGCGCTTGCTCATGAATTACACCAAGGGAAACAGGCTGAACGTAAATGACGTTAGGCTCTTATGTAGTGCACCTAGTTTGATCCCTGCTCACACAACGTACAGGGGAAGGAATGAAAGGTAAGATTTCTGATTCAAGTGCAACACATTATATGCGAGGAATGCACACCATACCAGAACAGAATAATTCGTTCATTACGCGGTATCCTAACACCTAACCCCTCGTCACACTCAAATGCCCCTAGCACTTGTGCATTCCAGACCAGCCAGGATTGGAACGAAGAGGGCTCCCAGGGGATACACAGTGGCTGGGGAGCCCCACCATGCCACAACACACAAGCAAACATCCACGCCCGAGACCGGATTCGATCGTCGAGGCTGCTAGGGCGCGATCGCTTTAGGTACCCAGGTGGGGGTACTCGCGTGGGTACTCACGCGAGTAGTTGCCGACGGAGACCCAGCGCAGGTGCTGCTGGTCCGGCGAGCGCTGGAAGTTGAGCACGGAGTAGCGCGGGGGGCCGTCCCGCCCGTTCAGGAAGCGGAACGGCTTCCCGCCCAGGTCTGCGCACACACAGACACACAGTCAACACAGCACGCCACGAGAAATTAAGGGCAGGTTTCTAAAGTCAGCGACATATTTTGTGTTTCCGGGCGCGTCAACTACCTAGCCACCTTGCCACCCCTTGGTCATTAGTCCCGTGATCTGAAGATCTGAAGTGGGATAAATATTTGATAAAAGGATTTATCATTGGGTGAAATCTAAATATGCTTCAGCTGTTTGTCAAAAAATATTCCGCGAGTGTAAAGTACTCGTATGTTGTAGCCGGGAGGTAGCAGTGTACCATCGCCCCTAGAACGGGAGAACCCATTTAAACAGAAACGTGCGGATTTCCCCCCTAAAGAATCTTCGCCAGCAGAGCACTGCCCGAGCCGGTTCGAGCTCTAAGTCCCTGAATGGTATCTCGACATGAGAGAGGCTTCTGCGACCGGAATCAATATTTACTTGGCTGTCCGGGTGACGCCGCGTTCATAGCAAAGGTGCCGATGTTTCGGTCGCCATTCTGCGACCTTCCTCAGGGCATTACGCAGAATTGCGACCGAAACGTCGGCACCTTCGCGATGAACGCGGCGTCACCCAGACAGCCAAGTAAATAGTCTCTCGACATGTGTGGTAGTGTAATGCAAAGTGAGTGTGTGTCTGTGTAAAAGGAGAAGGGGCGACAAGGATGAGGTCGGAATGATCGCGAGAGAGGTGAGTGGCCCATATGTTACTGTGCTGTTTCGGCTCTCACCTAATATTGAATGTAAAAAAGCCGCCCGTTAGAATTCCCCTCTAGTGAGCGAACGAATCCTCCGTGGCCATAAAGACGGTGTCGACAATAATCCATCGACGGGAAGCTGGAACCCTATGAACGCCGCCGCAGAAGGGCTTGCGTCGCGGGTGTACCTTTGAAGGTATTTACTAGGCTGTCCGGGTGACGCCGCGTCCATGGCGAAGGTGCCGACATTTCGGTCGCCATTCTGCGACCTTCCTCAGGGCGTAATGCGGCGACCGAAACGTCGGCACCTTCGCCATGGACGCGGCGTCACCCGGACAGCCTAGTAAATACTGACTCCGGCCGCGGAAGCCTACGCTCTCACCTTTGAAGGTGACGTTGGCGAGGTAGAGGCGCAGCTGGTCGCCGTCGATGTGGCGTAGGGCGTCGCACACGCCCTCGGCGTCCTCGCCGCACTGCGCCCGCTGCAGGTCGTGCAGCGCGTGCGCCACGGCGTAGACGGCGTCGCGCACGAAGTGCAGGTAGCGCTGCTGGCCCGGCGCCGCGCCGCCCCCGCGCCCCGCGCCCGCGCACCGCTCCGCGCCCTCCGCCTGCGCACACACACAAGGCACGCCGCTACACGTGACTACACTACCTTACCTCACATTACACTTATTATGGAACAGGACTCTATTTTATATTTGTATTATAATAAACTGAATTTTTTTCAGAAACCCATCAAACGCCACATTCCTCATTTCGAGAACACTGTCGAAAAGCCTCCCAATTTTCCTGATTTCAAAATATTTGTATTTATTAAAGCAGTTAATAAATTATTTTTTATATAAATATGCACTAAACGATGTGTCTATTCTCTTGGAACTATAATCCCCCGCTAATGCACGTTTTAGAATTCGGCGTTTGACTGGTTTCTCAAATAAACGATTCAATTATATTACACAAAACGTCCAGATTTACTCGTACCAAGTTGAAGACGTAGTACGTTGTGATAAACACACAAAACTGCCAGCAAATAATATAAAATTTGAAAAGCTGGATTAGGAGACCACAATTTTTGCAATTGTTTGTGTAGGGAGACACACGCCGTCTGATACTTGAAAAGTTTGAAGTGTTCAGAAATTAGACGCTCTTTTTTTCGGGTATGCGGTAATGAGATGTTTTTTTTTTTATTTTGTTACAGACTGTACCACCAGTCGACGCTGAAGCTATAAGCTTGTGACTTCTGCAAGAATATGAATACGAAATCCGCATGAAACAACCGCCTCTTGCAATAAATGTGAATCACACTGCCTATGGTAATAATTCTAGCGGCTTCCGAGCACGGTACAATTCGAGAATTACAATATTTCTCCAAATCAAAATCGTGTTTTCTGTTATATGATTAATCTTTTGCACAAACATTATGTATTCTTGTCGGTCAGCAATTGGTGTTTATTACGCCGTCTTTTGGTACGACTTTTTTTGTTGTGAGACTGGTGTAGCCGAACTGTATTTGTTGGGGTTTGGGGTGTTATTCAACTGTTGAGATCATAGAGTCCATGAGTGCAGATTCAATGAGTAGATGAGAGCGATAATGCAGACGAAACGTCCAAGAGATTCCTGCCCACATGCATTGGCAAAAAATTGCACCCAGGCTCCAGCAGTGTCAGGCGTATTAGTAACCCGCAAAATGCGCAACGAAAGGATTTGATCGATTGACTGATTAATCAGTGTTTCCGGGCGCTAACTACTAAGGTCATTACTCCGGTGAGTGTATTGCATGTATTTATCGCTGGAGATGGCGGTGAACGTCTCTGCCTGTTGACGGTGAGATCAGGCGCCGACCTACCCGTCGGCTTGCTGGGTTTTCTCAATCAGGCATGTCCCACAAGCGGGACACGACCTCAGCCGGGAAAAGCTAAGCTCTCGAATGGTCTTCCGAAACTTGTGATGGTATAGTGCATGTAAGTATAAGTGTGTGTAAGTTAGGGGTGAGGATAGACCGAGGAAGAGGAAGGAAAGATCGCGCACGTGTGACAGTGTAGTGAATGTAAGTATAAGTGTGTGTAAGTGTAAGTAAGGGGTGAGGATAGACCGAGGAAGAGGAAGGAAAGATCGCGCGCGGTCCGTGGTCCGTTTGTTACAGTGCCTACTTGTTGATCGGACAAAACACGGGAAACTACTAATCAGTGCAGCCGGCTGCTAGAATTCTAGCAGTTAGCCGCTAGAAGCATCGTAAGGCACCCAAGCCGGTCGGCGAAAGGGAAAAAAAAGAAAAGCGAGGTCACCCACCTCGTGCGCGGCGGCGGCGGCGTCCGCGTGCGGGCGGGCGTGTCTGCGCGCGCACTGCGCCTGCGCGTCGTCCAGGTACTCCTCGAACCACGGGTTGACGCTGGCGTGGGCGCGCGTCAGCGAGCGAAAGTAGGCGTCGAAGCCGGCGAGCGGGCGCGCCAGCGGCTGGATGGCCAGCGCGCCCTCCAGCAGGCGCTCGTCGGCCGCGTGGCCCGCCAGCCCCCAGGCGTCCGAGCCGATCCACACGACGCGGCCCGGGCCCCGGCCGCGCGCCTCCGCCCCCGCCCCCGCCTCGGCCTCCACGCGCCGCGCGGCCTCCAGCAGGCGCAGCGCCGTCGCCTTCTCCGCGAACACCACCGCCACGCGCGCGCCCTGCGCCCACACGTTGCGCACCTGCAACACACCCACGCAATGCGTCATAAATTATCTTTTGTTGCACACTCTACAGCACTTATGGCACATCTACTGCACTTTCTGGCACGTCTATTGGACTTTCTGGCACAACTATTGCAGTTTCCGCCACATTTATTGCACTTTCTGACATCTATTGCACTTATTGCCACATTTATTGCACTTTCTGCCAGATTTATTCCACTCTCTGGCACATCTATTGCACTTTTTGGGACACATCTATTGCACCTTATGGGACACATATTGCCCATTTTGGCACATATATTGCACATTTTCCTAGATATATTGTTTTTTGGCACACTCTACTGCACGTTTGAAACATTTTGCACATTTTTGTACACTTGAAAAATAAAATAGCGCATTAAAATAAATACTTTTCCGGTTGTAAAATGTATTTAATACTTTTAAGGCGAACAACTCTTCCCCCGTTCTGCGTTTCTGCAAATGCAACACCACATCGCAATGGATTGTGTACGTATATTTTATATACAATCCCTTTGCAAATTTTTGCTCACTGAATTTGTGATTGACCGATATCAATAAATAATGTATAAATGTGAAAGTTTTTGAACGGGTTGCTAAATGAGTAAAAAACCTTTACATTTCTCCCGAGGAGATAACGTTTTTATTTACACGTCGTGAACTACCCAATTGTTTACTATTAGAAATAAAGTGGGTACAAAATATTATTTTTGCAGGCGTATATTCCACGTATTGTGTATTGAAGTGAATGTTGGCAGTGCCATTTTTGTCACATTATTTGTTCTCTAGGGATCACGTCTCATATTGAACCATGTACTTAGTCTTATTGCTTATCATATCTGCGCATTATTACCATACTTGCAAGCTAAGACATTTTTACTAGTTTAGTCTGACAAACCTTAATATCACAGGTCATTAACTATAAAAAATGTTTTATTTTAAGAGGTAAGACTGCAAAAATTTGTTCATCCATTATAGCACTGTAAACCATAATCTCTTTCGTTGTTTTTGTTAACAAACTTACGCATTATTCCGTGATAAGAACATACATTTATTTCACTGTTCAATTTATTTTTAACAACTTAAGTTAATACACATTTATTTAAGTAATTAAATACGGTGCTGATTTGTTTAAATTTTGTTCCAGCCCACTGAACTCTGATGTTGCAGAAACTTGAGTAATGAAAGAAAGTTTTCTAGAAAGAATTTTTCTAAAATTTCGTTAGAATTGCGACATCAGTTAAAATTCCAAACATTTATAACAAACATGAAAATTACTTCTAAGTTATTAAAATGTATAAAATTGTCAACTTTTCACACTTTCGTTAATGTTCAATTTCAAAAGCGTGTTTAAAATATATTCAATGCTACTTTCATATAAGATTTTCTGTTGAGATTCCACCGAAGGGGTCGCGCGTCAACTCACCGCGTTGTCGTAGTCCTTGTCTGAGAAGTGATCCTTGTCGATGCGCTGCGGCGCGCTGAAGCAGATGCTGTAGTTCTTGGCCAAGTCGCTGAGCGTCTCGAAGCCCTTCGTGCCGTACTCGTTGTCCGAGTACACCACTGACACGTACGTCCAGTTGAACTGCCTGCAACACCCGACAAACGGCGTGGTGAAAGGCTGCGAATTGATTTTTTTTTCTCTTGATGAAACCATCGTTTAAATAGTACACACACACACACACACACACACACACACACACACACACACGTGGTCTCTATCTGTCCCTCAATGTGATCTCTGTCAATGTGCTCTCGAGTGGAAGTTCGATGCCCAATGTAACTGGGCCAGTAAAAATGTACCAAGCCGAGTTTTCTTTTCAAATTTCAACATTTCAACTTGTGAAAATCATAAATGAGGCATCTAGAAACGGATTACGGCAATTGTGTCCCTTGCAGGGGCAAATCAACAATTTTCCAGCATAGGACATCAAACTGTCTAGAGAAAGAGGAACATTCGAACCCGCGTCATTTCGCACGATGCGTTGTGGGAGAGAGATTTCGGAACAGCCTGTGCTTCTAAGGTTACCATATGGTTTAACTTCCAGGTGCGCCGTAGGTGTATTTGCAGGCGTCCATTCTGTACAGATCTATACCCTATAATTCAAATGCACGACACTTGTTGATGAGTATTTCTGGTTCAAAAATCATCAATTCCATCTCATAAGCAATGGAAAGAGTGGAAATGCACACTCTTGGTTTTAAATGGTAAAGGATTTGCTCATTGCCAAAACAGCGCGGGCATTACTTCTATAGAGCGCCATTTTGTTTTGGAGAGCCATGAGCATTAGACGCATGTGGTAAATCGAACAAAGTAGCATATTTTTGCACAGCACAATAAAAATTCTAAATAATAATGCTAAATAATTAATTTGCTATGTCTTAAGAATACTTATAAATAATTTTCATAGTATTCCGCTGCAATTATTATTAATAAAAGTACACAAAATCAATATAATAAGTAGGATACTAAACAACATTCCATAAAATTTATAAAGGTGTCTCAGAATAAATGTTATGAACTTCTCAGGTCTGTGGAGAGGTAAAAAAATCTTTTACCAATGAATATACATATTTTACAGTAGGTAATATAAATATATATTACAGTAGGTAATATAAAGAAATTACACAAGTTGAAATTTCTTGTCATCGATAGACCACCCCGTATGCACATATCATATAATATGAAACTCCGCCGTATTTTATCTCCCCCTATAAGTTCATTAGCAAAAAGTAAACATATTCGACACTTCTACGTGTCCTCGACATTTATAAGAATTATTCTGGGACATGCTCTGTACAAATGTTATCCAGCTAACCCTGCCATTCTAGTTGCTACCAACATAATTCCGCAAATGACACAAGCAGACCTGAGGATCTCGAGCATGGCGTGCGCCTGGTTGAGGTCGCTGGGCACGGTGCGGAAGAAGTAGGGGAAGCGCTCGCGGTTGCCCAGCGTGGTGGCCGTGGACAGGTAGCTGACGAGCGGGATGCGGAACAGGCGCAGCATCGTCGCCACCTGCAACAGCACCTCGCGCCGTCACGCCCTCCGCGCCGCCACGGCGCCTGCCGCCCAGTCAACAAGGAGTGTTTGATGCTCGGCGTGCACAATGTGTGATTGGCAAATAAATGAGTGCAGAATACAATTGAGTAAATTAGAGTGAACATGTTCACGTTCAAATTAAGGGTAAAACAGAATCAGTTTTAAAATTATGATAAACATTTACAAAGACGTTTAAGAATTTTGACTATTCATTACTGTAACTAAAGACATCAACGTCAATGAGACGGAAAAACGGGGTAGGGTGAGATTGCTGGGGTGGGCCGCGAAAGGACATGTTGTGTGGTGTGGCCTGATGTGTGTTGTGGCGTGTGATGTGTGAAGTGTGGCGTGTGAAGTATGGTGTGGTGTGCTGTGGTGGGGTGCGGTGGAATGGGGTTGGGTTGGGGTCGGTCTGGTGACGTGTGGTGGAGTGTGGTGAGGTGTGGTGTGGTGTGGTGTGGTGGGGTGGGGTGTGTGGCGTGGTGTGCGGTGTGCTGGTGTGTGTGAAGTGTGGTGTGTGAAGAGGAGTATGGTATGGTGTGGTGTGATGGGAAGGGGCGACGTGTGGAGTAGTATTGTATGGTGTGCGGTGACGTGAAATGGTGTGGTGGAGTGGGGTGGGGTGGTGTGTGGGTTGGTGTGTGGTGAGGTGTGGTCTGGTGAGGTGTGGTTAGGTGTGGTGTGGGGGGTGTGAGGTGCGCTGTGTGGCGTGGTGTGGTGTGGTGTGGTGTGGCAGTGTGGAGGAGGTGCGGTGCTCACCTGGATGGTGACGGAGCTGGACTGCGCGCCGATGACCGCCACCACCTGGTCGAAGCTGCCGCCGCGGAACTTGGGCGGGGACCCGTCCTCGCACACGAAGTCGCGCTCGTGGAACTCGTTGTAATGCGCGATGAACCCTGCACATATTCACTCCGCGTTTACACACGTCGCCATTTGAAACTCAACGGCAAAACGTCGGGGTTGGACCACTTTTATTGAGATAAAAAAGAAAAAGCATTGTAGTTCATTCTTTCACAAATGTACTGTGGCACAAATAACCGAGCGTTTGGTTGAAGCAAACATATCTCAAGCTACTGCGATCAATGAAAGAGATTGGACATTTAAGTCGGTGCAATTTCAGTTTTCCCATAGTTTTATGTTAAATCACGGAATGCGCCTGTACTGACAGTTGGAACACTTTGTTCTCTTAAAAAATAAGTTCAAAATGCCCTCTTCATAGCTGCAGTACAAACCTCTTCTCTTCGCAATGATACCCGAACCCTATCAAAAATACCTGACGTATCGTGTACTTTGACAGGCTGCCATGTACGCGCGTAGTACAAACAGCAGTCGATTTCAGAAAGGCATGAGAGTAATTGAAAACCAAAACACACGGGGAAACCGCAAATATACAACTCACAAAAGATTGGAGAGGGGGAAATAAAGGGGAGGGTGAAAATACATAAAAACAGCAAATATACAACTCACAAAAGATTGGAGAGATAGTGTGGTGAAGGTGAAAGGGTGAAGGGGGTGAATGGGGGTGAAGGGGGGTGAAGGGGGGTTGAAGGTGGTGAAGAGGGTGAAGGGGGTGAAGGGGGGGTGAAAAATTATCGATCAGAGCAGCTCTTTGCTAGTATTCTTCTCTAGCTGGTAGTTGAATTCCACATAGCTATCTAGTAAGTGTCTAAAATCCACCTCCTTTGCGACTCGCACTTTAGGACCTTCCGAGCAGAGGCAGCTGTGACTGTATGGGCCACCTCAGCCGGCTTAAAGAAAGGACGCACCCTTGAGGAAGTCGAGCGACTGCTCGAGGCCGTACGACGGGTTGTCGCACGAGTCGAAGGCCAGCATCCCCAGGCGCACGCCCGGCAGCAGAGTCGGGTCCGCGTTGATCTGCTCAATGGTGAACAGCATCGCCTCCAGCGGCTGGATGCCGTCATCCTGCTACGCACACCGGTACGCGGCGTCAATAGAATTTCTTCAGTTTGGAAACGGTACTTTTGAATTGAATTGAATTGAATTTGACTTATTTTACGTGGCGAGACTCAGGCCATCAGGCCCGCTCTTCCGTCTGACCACGCAAATTTCGCTACGCTCCTTTCACCAACTAGGAGAGAAAGGAGGTATTTCTTGGGCGAGAAACAGGCGATTTGAATTTAGCTCAGAGGCTACGTCATTTAGGCTTGAGGATCTTTTACATGCAAGTAAATTTACGAACATGGGACAGCCGGCTTTACTTCCCCTCCGAAGGAAGGCGTACGAAGGATTTTTTCGCCCTTAAAAATCCACGGCTTCGATCGGGTTTGAACCTGCCAACTTGGGTACAACAGTCCAAACTTCGCTTTAACACGTCATTAAAGGTACTAATTATTCGCCGTAAGTGGCTAAAAAACAGCATTATGTGCAAGGGCCGCCTTCACACGGAGCCACTTCACAGCGCCACTAACAGGTGCCCGACGTCTTCACACAAAGCCACTGACCAGCGCCACTGCGAGTAGGAAAGAAAGGATTCTTTATACACACTGCTGTTGGCATCGGTGACTGCATGGCAGACAACATATTAACCACTAACCTCAGTGGCGCTTTCGAGTGGCTTAGTGTGAAGGCTCCCAGTTAGATGCCATCTTCCGCCACAGCAGTCACTGGATTGTTCGTGTCGATACAATCATTTAAACTAATGCTTTTTCAGGGCAAGCGCCATTCATAACAGTTGCCGAGTGTCTTCGTGTGAAATTGATATAATTATTCTCTACACAATATTTATGTCATGTGTAATATATATTTTATCTTATCCGACCGTCTTTTAACATTTTTAAGTTTTTTCTAACTATATTATTAATGGCATTTTATTGACTTTGACAGTACCCTTTGTTACGTTAAATATATCAATTAGTAATTTAATCTACTTTTAACACGTAAAAAGCATAAAGGTGATTGGATAAAATAAAACTCATGCATTTATTCATCAGTAATGGATTTTGTACATCTCATGTGGAAATTATTTGTGAGTAGAAAAATTTAAAGGTTTCTATGTCTGTTTTGCAGAATAAAATCAGTGCAGAATAATTTCACTTTCTGAACAAGAAACATTTTGTCATCAAAATAAATGTGAATTAGGCGGTCTTGTAGGGGTTACAAAAAATGTAAATAGCTTTTAACACAACAATCCACAGGCGTTTGGTGACGTGCATTGATATGAACCTCCACCTCACCTGCAGTTTCCCGCAGGGCTGGTCGGCAGTCCCCTTGCGGTGGACCGGGAACAAGGCGCCCAGCATGATGTCCCCGGTAAGGTTCATGTAGAGGCGCGGTTTGGCGACTTCGTCCATCCCCTCCGCCAATGTTGCCGCCACCGCCCACAGCAGCGCCACGGCCGCCGCGCGCCTCCCCGCCCACATGGAGCTACGCCACTAGCGACCCTGGTGGAGAAAGGATCAACTCCATGAAACGCATTCACTCTGCCACCTAGCGGTTTGTAAGTGAACGTTTCAGAAATACATTTGTTTTGTACAGATGTCGCTAGAAGAGCTATTCAACAAATTATTCGTTCAGATTGTACTTCTAGGATCAGTAAAATCTCTTGAAACCTACGGAAACAAAAATTAAAAGTATTTTTACTGGTTTCGAAGCTCAGGCCATTTAACCTGCTCGTAAAAGTGACAATGATGTTTTCTTATGCATTATCGAGCAATATTGAAACGTTAACTCAATTTGTTAAAACATATGTTTAGTTAAATCTAAGCTCACCCGAGAAGTAGTTCTTACGACAATCCAAACTTGAACAATTAATTCATCGAAAAATCTTTTTAATAATATTTGTTTACGTTCACTTTGACTTTTATTTTACTCAGCCAATGGTAGCTTTCGATACATGCCTAGTTTTACTTGCGAGGCTGTGAATCGACTTGAGTGACCGCCTCCCCTGCTAATGTTCGATATTCCTGATTTTTAGCTTTTAATAGACTGGATATTTTTCAAAATAATTCGTAAAATTAAATCTTCTTATTTTTATTTCAGGCCGTATTAACAGCTAGGCCATTAGCGACAACTATATATTAAAGGTAGTCGTAACAGTATGATGTGATATGGTGATGGTGAGAGGTGAAAGGACGAGCACAAAGACAACCATGCCCGACGCGGAACTCGAACCCGCAATTCTCAGCCCGAGGTCGCTACGGCACTACTGTATTAACGATCTTCTCCATCCGGACAACTGGAACATTCTAATTTTGCTTTTTCGAAGCAACATTTTCTTGTTTTAGATAACATTTCAGGAAAGAGAACAAAGAAGTTTTTATTACTTGGACTGAAAGCAAAGACTACACATGTTTCCTACTTATCGTATTTTTCAAAATTCTCGAGTGTATTTTTCAAACAATTAATTTCGAATCCAAAATCGCTACATTCCGAGTCTTTTAAAAAGAATAATAATCACCGTACTTTATTTCTGTATTAGTACCAATCCTAACAGCGATAACTCGACCTGTAAAAATGGAAACTGCAATTATTATTAAAACTTCCAACAAATCGCTAATTTTCTAGATTTTCAATAGTGTCTTCATGATGACGCGACAACAGAGCTGCTTTAAAGTAAACGTGTTCCTTTTCACGTTTGGGTGCGAATTTTACATTATTTGTCACCTTTACGTTTACCAACGTAAAACAGCGCCTTCCTTTCTGGAAAGCATTTCTGGAAAGCTTCTATCGGAAGAAGAATACCCGTTCATTTGTTCTAGCAGACTTTACCCATTTTATCAAAGTGACACATCATACAAAATGAACATTATTTTTTAGTATGTACAGATCCACAACGTAAACCTACTTTGTTTTCAGGGGATTCTGATATCTTCCACTGGAAAAGAAATCACAGGAGACAACGTCTTGATTCTGAATTGCACATTTGTGTACAAAACGGGAGTGCTTACATTATTTTCTCTGCGAAGTACATAAATCGAGGAATTTCTATCTATTCAATTCTTTCTCCTTTAACGTCTTTTCCTCACTTTCCAAAAAGATTCCATCATCCTATCTGTTTCTTCTTTCTCTCTCCGGACCTCTTTATCTCCCTGTTAACTTCTTAAATAAAATACATTAATTTTATTGGCCACGTTTTATGAGTTTCAATACTTTTCATAAATTGTCAGCTCTTTTTTATTCAATTACGGTTTTGTTACTATAATAATAATAATAATAATAATAATAATAATTATTATTATTATTATTATTATTATTATTATTATTTTATTCGTAGGAATCGTTGGACAGCACGCAGATAATATGGCTGTGACGGAACCCGCGACTCTTCGAGCCGAGGTCTTCTCTATATAATCTCATCGTTATAAGTTTTATTATGTTAATACTAATAGGTATGATTGTGGCTAACGTGCTCAGCATAGCACCAAGGAAGATACCGCCCACCATTAAATATGTTATGTTCATATATTATGTAATAGGTCCCACGGTGGAGCATTGGTTATCTCTAGGTGATGATCGCTTTCGAAATCCGGCAAAATAATAACTACGTTTTCCTTACAAATGTCATAATATCTATTGCTGTGTGATGAGAAAGCTCACCCTAGGGTTATGAAGACCAGTATACAATGTGAAAGGATGTCTTCGAGCTAACCACACGAGTCCCTTATCTCATGTCGAGAGGTTGGGTCACCACTGGTCGGCCAAGGCTCGTAGCTTTTTATGGTTCAAGTGTTTTTCTTGTGTGTGTATGCTAACTTAACGTTTAGTTAGCATACCCACATTTAGTGTTGAATATTTTGATGTTGTGCATTAGTAGAAAATTTTTAAATTAGGGTATAAATTAGTCTTTGATTATAACAAAATTCTGGGATATAGTTTTTCAATTTTGTGATAAGTGGGTATGCTAGCTTTACGGACATCTCGTAACGGGCCGTCGAGCCATAGGGAAGAACAGGACATGTATTGGAATAGCATCTTTTGTGTGTGTGTGTGTGTGTGTATGAGTGTGTGTGTGTGTGTGTGTGTGTGTGTGTGTGTGTGTGTGTGTATACGTCTTACTTTTCAACGCCTTTTCTTGCGCTGCTAGGTCAAAACCTTCGAACCCATTCTTGGGGGAGCTATCCAGCAACCTCCCGTAAGTGATAGAGAGGTCCTGGGCCTTCTTTCCGTAGAACGGATTGCCTCTCCACCTTATTCGTGAATCCTGATGTTTTATCGAGCTATTGATGAAGAAGGCTCTTTTTTAGAGACGCATGCGTTTACATCACTCTACAACGTCCGTGAATGTTTAACATATTCTGCCAGTGCTTGCTGCTCTGATTGCGTTGTCTCTTTTCTCTGCTCAAGTTCTTGGCCTCCAGATCAGGGGAAGAGATTGAAATAATCACCATCACTGCGTGGATGAAGAGCGTAATGAGCTGTTAATTGTTTTCTATTTTGACGTTATCCAGCTCTTCCTGCATCCAGTCTATTATTCTAACAGGGTACCTGGTCACTGGTACTGTCCCGGTATTCATACCTTGGATGATATTTCTGTAACTGAACGTGGTTAAAATTTGACGCACCCGTCGTTTCTATTTAACTTGGTGGTAGATATCTTCAGTCTGCTGAAAACCTGATGGATACACAGGTGTCTCAGAATAAATGAAGCAAGCATCTAGGGCAAGTAGAAAAGTTGCAAATGATCCCTTTTTGTCAATGAATATGTGGTGAGAACTCTCATATTATTAAGTTCAACATGTGACGAAGTTCTTACGGTGCCCCTGATTAATACGAAACACATTCTGCACAGACATTTAGCAGGTACACGAACCTTTACTGGAAGACAACCGATATCATAATTGGTTTCTTTGCCAATGAATAATAAAAATTCCATATAACGGAGTTTCAAGCATTTATACATGTCAACATGCGTTCTTGATTCTTAGGCAAACCCGTATGCACAGACATTTCGAAGATAGCGAACGTTAATTATCCTTAAGTACTTCAAAATGGGATCTGCCGAACAACTGTGAATAAAGAGTTGCATAAATGTCAAGGGATATGACCCATGTGGAACTCCATGACATGCCCGCTGCATGTTCACTAGCAAAAAGTGGTAATTTACGATCTCTCTTCATGCCCTAGATATTTGTAGCTTTATTCTGAGATATTCTGTATGTTTCTAGGCACTTCATTAGTTTTGACAAACGTCTAAAACGTCTAAGCTCTTCACTACCTATCTGTGTGCCAGAGAGTCGTATGTCTTTCTGTAGTCCAGGTGACGAAGTACACAATCAACCGTTATATTACACTGTTTTATAGGATTATCTATCAATGATAAACGGATCTTTTCCCCCCTCATGATGTTATTTGATTGCATTTTATTGCGGCAATAGACTGGTGTAACCAAGATAGTATAGAATTTAACGAGAATTATGGAGAACAGGGGCATAATTATCGTTGGTAGGCTTATTTTGGTTGGAATGTTGACTGGTCTTTTTTTCTTCCAGACCTGCGTCAACTGTCCTATGTTCATCCACCGCTGTGAAGAGCCTTGTTTTAAGATCGTCCACCAGCTAAGAGAGTCTGTGATGAATGCCTCTTAAGTTGTTTGAGGTAAGATACTATGAACTATGACACTTGTTTGCCGGATGTCTCCGATACTTGATAAGCGAGTTGGCGCTTGTGCAGGACTGATATAAAGTTTTTATCGCTGTGATTATTGTTGTTGTTATTATTATTATTATTATTATTATTATTATTATTATTATTATTATTATTATTGGTGGTGGTGGTAGTGGTCATTGACGAAATTGGCCTGACCGTTTGTCTGGCAAGTTCCAAAGGTTCAAGGCTCCATTGGGCAATGAATGAAGCGTGAGAGGTTCTTCCAGTGGCGAATCAAAGCAGGCGAAAGATGAGGGGCCGGTGGGCGGTGACCTTCGCCATTTGTGAGGTCGCGCCCCGTCGCTCCTGCGTGCATTCCACGCCGCTCGCGGGCGCCAGCGGGCGCACAGTGCACGAGCCCACGCGCCGCGCCATCTGCGACGGCCTGAGCCTTCGAGTACCTGCATGTGACGTGTCCCAAACCAGGAAGCCCCTTTTGCACCATTTTTGAAAACGGGCGAGGAAGGAAAGGAATGGTACATTCTGGAGGGAAATTTCACGAAAAATGTTTTTCTTTCTCGCTCGAATAGTCGATAAATCTTAGCAAATTACTTTAACCCCTTGGGTGGTCAGATTCCATCTTTTGTGCGTCCTTGATACCAATGATCGATTGACGGCAACACGTCTGCCTGCCTCTGTGTAGTCTGCCTGCCTGCCTGATGTCTCTATGTCTCTTTTCGGCCTGTCTGTCCATATGCCTGTCTACCTGTCTGCGGTCAACGCGTCACTGCATACGATATAGCCGACATCATGCGTCAGCAAGGCTCCAGGGAAGAGGCCGTCTACCATTAAATATTTGTTATTCATATTTTGCGTTATGAAGCAGAAACTTTTCAATATTCTTCCTACGTAAATAATAACAATGTTTTTACAGTATTCGTGAGATCTGCTTTTGAAGAAATATTTAATTTATGGTAGTGTATATAAGAGTAAGTATTCTTAAGAAACAAGCGGGCAACGTTTTGAAACATCATTTAGTGTGGTTTTGTTAGGCAATATTTTTGCTACTGAAGCTAGTTGAAACTGAAGTTAGTAGGTTTTTATAAATTTTCTTTTTTAATATTTTACAGAATATTAAAGTTATTCTGTATTGTACGAAATATATAATGGATAACGGTAGTAGAGGTCTATAGAAATACTCTTGAAAGATCAATCTAAATATTAGTGTATTGTCAGTTCATAAAAAGTTTTTAAGAGAAGGTATATTCATGAAGAGTTGCTTTTACATTTTAGCCAATGTACTCCAATTACTCGATCTTAAGAATTCAAAACTTTATTCGTGCGAATGTAAAATATTTTGTGTCTCCTTATGTCTACACCACGAGCCGACGGTCCAGCTCTAGAAGCCATTTATAGTGAACTAAACACGCCATTAAAACGCTTCTGTTACTAACCTCTCGTTATCGTTACTATTAAATATGGTATATTCACGTGATCATAATCAACGGCCTTCACACCGAATCGAATGTACTTACTGTGGAATGGAGTGGTCCTTGAAAAGTCCGTCCGATCGACAGTGGATTCCGTCTACAATGTAGGCGTCGAAGCCTTTGAATCCATAACTCCTGGAATCTGCTCCAAGAATTAGATGCAGCCGTTCAGCTCACTTTTCACCTGAAACCAAATATTTTTTTATTGTTCCCATTTCTTCTCTTAAATATTTAATGAGTGTAATTCCATTCAAATTAAAGTGCATGTATGGTGAGCTAGAAACATAGGATTCGCTTCACAGACGATCCCCCTGAATTTTGTTACACCATAATATGATATTTTTGGTATAATATAATATGATTATTATTATTCACGGCTAACATACGTGATGTCTTGGAAAACGTTCCTCATGAGTAAAATCATCTTGTCCTCTAAAAATCGTTGTTCAGTGCTTACTTCCCTGGCCCCATCAAAAAAGTTCAATTGCTGATTGCAGAAAGTCTAAATATATCCCAGCAGTTCTCGCTTATGTACAGAGCGATTTAAACGACGAGCCAGCGAAAATAGCGTCCAATTGCAAGATCTCTTCAAACTGGAACTTGGGAGCTCTCGAACAAACTTGCCGACCGCAGGCCCATGCGGTTGCTAGGGCCTCGAGCGGAGCCGGTCGGGGGAGACCGGGCGAGACCGGAGGCGCCCCTCGCCCCCTGCGGAGTCCTAATGGCCTCCATGAGTTTCATCTGTTGTCCGCAGGGCGCGCCTGCGGCGGCGCCGCCCCCTCGGCGCCGTTTCGCCCTGCCCCCTCCGGCCGCCCCCCGGCGCGGCCAATGGCACGCGGGTGACGCGTGGCGTCCAACTCAGGCGGCTCCACACATTCGGCATTCGCCGAACAGCGAGCCCAACCACGAACAGCTGATGTGTTCGGCGAATGTTTGCTTCCTTTGATGTGTCCAAAAGACCAACACGCGGTGGGTAGGGCGAGCACAGAATCTTCGCCACACGGCAAATAGCAAGCAACTCATCCTCACTACTTGGGTTTAGCAGACGGTGGCTCGCCACTCGCCGAATAACGAATGTGTGAAGCCGCCTGAAGATGTTACGGTGTTTCAGCTCCGAGAGACGATCTTTGACAGTCAGATCTGAAAATCTTCGTACTAACTCGCAACCCGTATCTTAATATTTGAAGCAACGAGAATACACGCAGAGAATTAGATGTATGTGCGACGTGGCTGTAGAAAAATTGTACATATTCACCATATGGAAAATAGAAACAATTTATTTAGTTTTATTTTAAATATACACATAATACAAATTTAATTATATAGTTATAATAATAAATTTAGCATATTAATCTTTAGAACAACTTTTGCATTTGATGACTTTAATAATATGTTCGTTGCATGAAAGATTGTTGCACCAGTTAGTAGAAAGTGTAGTAATAATTGTAGTAGTTCCGTTTTTTGCTCTTCCGTAAGTGTAACAGTGATTTCTTAAATCTGTTTGTGATTATTGTCGATCATCGCGACTTCCAGTTTTTGTAAATTTGCTAACAAGCGGTTTTATATTCCCCTTTGTTATCTTGTCTTGCCCATGAAAATATTTCTCCACTATATAGCTGCTTGAATAATCACTAGAACAATCAAGCTCAGAACACTTGTCATGTTCATTCTCGGCCATTACAACTTCTTCCTCAGAATCTCTTGCAGCATCGTAAATTTTGTCTTCTGACTATTCCTCATGTAATAATTCACATATCTACTTTTCTGACAAAGTATTCAATGTAAATAAATTAGTTTAATTACATGAATAAATAAAAAATCTGTAATAATTTAAAAAAATGAAAATATTTTCCGCGCGGCGTAGAAAGTACGCCAACGATCATTTACCAACGGAAATACAATCGTCTAGACACAGCTGTAAATCTTAAACCACAGAGTATCGAGGAGCATGCAACAAAATGCCTTCTGAGAAGTTAGGTCAAATGTCAGAACACGCGCTCATGTTATCTGACACCTACTGCAATAACAGTTTCAGTGGCGTATTAAGTACTCCAGCGCGAGTAACTAAAGGTTAAAAGTCCCATCCGCATGCCTCGAACTTAGGGCTGCTTGACAACACTTTTTACAGTGATCAACGCAATAAGCAAATGTGCTTTCAGAGATTTACAGAACGAGAAACGTATTTACTGTGTAATTTACGTCATTCACTTCTGACATCTGTGAAAATCTTGCGCCCAATCAGATTATGAATTTCAGCATTTTGATTATATATTATCTTGACTGAAAAAAACAAACAGATCTAGGTTACTAAATTGATGAAAATAATAAAAAAAGAAAAAAGAAAAAAAGAAAAAAAGAAAAAAGAAAAAAAGAAAAAAAGAAAAAAAGAAAAAAAGAAAAATAGAAAAAAGAAAAAAAGAAAAAAAAAGTATTGTAATGTGTTATAATTATTTTGTGGAAATTAAAATCTATATAATATTCGAAAATTGTGGCTGTGTAATAAATTTTATATCCATTAGATTGACAGGAAGAAGGAAAAATCAGAATCTAGTATTTTAATTAAAATCGTGAACAAGAACATGCGTGAATACCATTTTAGACATTTGATGTTCTAAATATTGATAGGCGCAAAGTTTCTGTGGACATCTCTTGTCAACTGCCTGTTCTCTGAACTTAACGACTTTTCAGTCAAGGGACATTAACCCTTCACATGTCACAGTCCCTGATCACACTGTCCACAGCGCTTGCGTGTTGTGTGGGTTGCCTACCTGACCAAGACTAGGTCTTTTTTTCTACCAAGGCCTATAGTTTGCTCTTACTCTTCCAAATAAACGAGAGCAACGACATTGGGATAGTATTTGTATGGAAATTGAATTTTATTATGACATCTTACAGCGAATATTTGTTTTTACTGTAATTTGTGTATGTCATCCAAGTTCAATTATGTAATCTAAGACGTTTTACTGGTGCGTAATTGCTATTCCACTGAACTACAGAACGTAAATCATTGAGTAGTTTTTGGGTAGTTCAAACAAAATAACTTTGTGCATCATAAGCAGCAGGGAAATACATTAATAAAATGTAGATGTATTTTATCTTTCATTATTTCTTTAATTAATTTGAGGAGAAATGTTACTATATGTATCAATTGAATAGATATGAAATGAAAATTATGAAAATTATTGCACTACATTCTATCTGATAAATTCATTATTCAACGATAATCAAATAGATAACCATTTGAGGTTATCAAAACGTTATGAAGAAAAGTTAAATTGCCACAAAAGCAAGTAAGCTCTGGTCTATGCTCGAAAATTGACTTTAAAATCACATAGCTTTGTCTAATCCTCCCAACTAGGTGAAAAAAAGCTCTGGAGGAAATTGCTCTCCAGCATCGCGCTCCTCATTGGTCCGTGGGCGGCCCGGAGACGCAGAGACCTTTCTCCCCAGAGGAGCTCTTGCCAAGGTCGCGCTCAGAGCCCTGGGAGTTTGATCATCTGTAGAGGCGGCGGTGAATGCAATGTAGACGCAGTGGCAGTAGATTCAGAGGAAACAGCGGCGGGGTTGATGGTTGTGGAAGTGGCGGTGATGGCGGAGGCGGGGATGGGGCGAGGCTGGGGTGAGGGTGAAGCGAGGGTGGCGGTGACGGTGGCGGTGAGGGTGGCGGCGAGAGCGGCGGCGAGAGTGAGGCGAGGGTGGGGCGAGGGCAACGGCGAGGGCGGCGGCGAGGGCGGCGAGGGAGGCGAGGGAGGCGAGGGAGGCGAGGGAGGCGAGGA